TCCATGCCGCGCTTGGCGAGGACTGGGATGTCCCAGAAGATCTTGGGCGGGGCGTCTCCGTGCGCGACCTGCAACTGCATGTGCTTGTCCCGCCCCATAGAGAGGACGCCGCGCTCTTTGTCGGAGAAGAACCTTCTTCCAGGATGCTGGAGCTCGACCGCCTGCCGGACCTTGCGGAGGGAGATCTCGAGTTCGATGCGCTCGGGGGGCCTGTTGGGGCCAAGGTGGAGCCTGCACTTCTCAGCACCGGGCGGGGTGACCCACAACTCCTTCCATCCCGACTGGTCGCGAAGATTCGATATGGCGGAGCGGGCCTTCCGAGCGGCAGCACCTGATGGGCCTTTGAACTGAGCCCCGAATCGGCGTGCAGGGGCGGCCCCGCGCAGCGCGATGGAATAGTCCTCACTGGTGCAGCTGAGGCCCTCGAGCCAGGGCTGGAGGGAGGCGATGACACTGGCCTGTGTGGTGGGCTTCTGCGAGACAGCGACAACAATGGTGCAGTCCTCGGCGCGCTCGAACGACGACGGCGGGGGCTGCTCATCACGAGGGGCAGCGGCTGCGAAGGCGAGTTGCTTGCGGAGCTCCGCAATATGCTCGCGGAGGGCGTCAATGTCGGAATCATGTCGATCAAGCCTGGTCTGAGCGGCGAGGAGCTGGGCCGTGTGCTCGTCAATCTGAGACTGGAAGCGCCTGCTGACACCGTCGAGCCGAGGGGCGAGCGCGGACTGGACCTGTTGTTCAACGGCAGTAGCTCTCTTGGCGACCTCCGCCTGCATGGCGGGGAGCATTGACACAAGGGTGGCGTGGTTGTCGCTGACAGTCTTGGACGCGGAACCGCTGACCTCCGCGGTGATGGTGCTGCGCATGAGCTGGAACTCCTCACGGCACACCTGTCTGAGGTATTCATCTGAGGTGAGGTCATCATCATCCATGTCTGCTGGGCGGTCAGAAGCAGGGCCGACAGGAACGTCAGCGGCCAGACGCCTGCGAGCACCAGACCGAACAGAGCCCTTACCTTTGCCCGCGGGACGACCTTGAGATGCTTGACTAGGGAAGGTCGGTACAGAGCAGATGGCCTCGGCAAGCTCGCTGATCTCCTGATATGACAAGGGCGCGGCATCGGCCATGGGACGGAGAAAGGGGAGGATGTCCGCCAGCTGCTGAAAGCTGGATAGCCCTGCAGGGGGGACTGCCTCACTCAAAACGGGCCTGTCCCGATCTTGAGCCAAAACGGCAACGGAGGAGGACGGGGAGGAGGAGGAAGAGGACGAAACATGTTCAGAGCGAGGTGGCCGAACGGTCATTCATTGTCCCTGTGTGCGTGGCAGAATAAGGAAATCGTGGTGACAATTCTGCTTGTTGCGTTGCTGCTGCTGCTGTTGTTGTTGCTGCTGCTGTTGTTGGTGGTGTTGTTGTTGTTGTTGTTGGTGGTGTTTGTCGTCGTCGTCTCACCCGCGACCCACCCTGCGACCCACCCTACGACCCACCCCGCGACCCACCCCGCGACCCAACCCGCGACCCACCCGCGACCCACCCGCGACCCACCCCGCGACCCACCCCGCCATCCACCCGCGACCCACCCCGCGACCCACCCGCGACCCACCCGTGACCCACCCCGCGACCCACTGGACCTGACCATTGACGCTTACTAAAACGGCCCTGGGCGTTGTCTAAACATTACTTGTGTGTGCGTTTACTAAACGGCTTCGCATGTCGGGGTGGTTAGTATGGGGTGGATGTTCTGCCCTCTACACTCGCGACCCACCCGCGGCCCATTTGCGACCCACTCGCGGCCTACCCACGTTGGTTAAACGTACAAATCAGCGCCTGCGGCGAGCTCGTTGTATAATTTGTGAAAATGTGGCGCCTGCGGCGGGCTTCTCCAGAGTCTTGCAAACTGCCGACGTCCCCAACTGCCCCCTCACGCTTATCCGCTTCTGCGGGGCGCTACGTATTTCCTTCCTTTGCAAGCGTAGCGAATCTCCCACTCTAACACAAACTTTGGAATTCCCGTGTTTCTCTAGTGCCGTCGGGGCCTCTCTCGGGGCTCTGTTGGGCCTCTTCGGTGCTCTCTTGAAGCCTCCTGGGGGTCTCCCGGGGCGAAGATCTCGGGTTCTCGGTTCACGTTCCCGATCCTGGGCTGCGGTTGGGTTTTTTTTTTCGGCCCGTCTTGAACGTCTCTTCCGCGCGTTTGAAGCCTTTCGAAGCCTATTGGGCCGTCTTGGGGCGATCCTCGGAGCCCCTTGGGGCGTTTTGCAGCGTCGGGAAGCGGAACAGGCGGGAACGCCATCAGTGTTCAAACACCTATGGACCATACATGTTGCTTGGCCCTATCGAGCTCTGTTGGGAGACCTCTTGGAAATCTCTCGGGGATCTTGGGGGCCTGTTGGGCCGCCTGGAGGCCGTCTTGGGCAATCTAGTGGCGTTCGGCCCATCCCGCTAACGTGCCTGGGTTGTGGGTTAGAGGCCTCTTGGAAGTTCGTGAATTCGTGGAAGGCTTCCCATGGGCCTCTTGAAGGCAGTGTTGGAGGCCTCTTGGGGGCCGTTTGGGGTGCTGTTGGGACCTCTGTGTGGGGGCCTATTTGGGGCCTCGTGGGGCCTCTAGGGGGCCTCTTCGGCTCTCTTGGGGGCCTCTTGGGGCCTCCTGGAGACCTCCTGGGGCGGAAAATTAGAATTGTCGGTTCGTGTTCTCTCTCTTGGGCCCCTCTTGGGGCCGTCTTGGGGCCCTCTTGGGCGATCTGGGACTCTGTTGCGCCGTCATGGCGCCCTCTCTGGGCGCCTTTTGGGCCGTCTTGAGCTGATTTCTGGAGCCTCGTGGGCTGTCTTGGACCGTCGGAAACACGAAACGGCGAGAACACGAACAACCTGAAAGAAATTCTGGAACAAGAACTTACTTGTTTCGCCTGCTGAGTGCCTCGTGGGAGTCCTTTTGAGGGCATCTCGGCCGTCTTGAAGCAGTCTTGGGCTGTCTTCAAGCCATGTTGGACCAATTTAAAACGCTCTTGTGCGGTCCTGGGCTCTCTTGGAGAGATCTTGTAGAGGGCAGAAAATCCACCCCGATGATAACCACCCCGACACGCGAAGCCGTTAAGTAAACGACGCACCCAAAGAAGGAATCAAACAAGGCAGGGCGGTTTAGTAAACGACCAGGGCCGTTTAGTGAACGTAAATTGTCAGGTCCGGGTGGTTTTTCCTCCCTTGATCTTGGGCCAGCATGGCACCCTCTTGGACTTCTTTCGGGCCTTCTTGTCGCCCCCCTTCCCCTGCTTTGGCGCGTTCTGGCACCCTCGTTGGGTCCAAGACGGCCGGAAGACAAATCAGTGCACTCCTGGGCCCGCAGGACCCCCTCCCCATTTTTTAATCATTTCTTAGATTCTTAGTTTATCTGTGTGTCTATAGATGGATACTCACTAACGTTTTCCGTCTGGCGACCACTGGCCAATGGTCAGATAGCTCAGTGGTGCGCCCACTCCCCCGAGCGCTCCACAGAGACGAGGCCCAGGCAGAGCTCCACGGAAGCAGCTGCGCTTCGCGAGAGCATTCGGAGAAAAGACCCCAGACGGACGCGCGAGCACGCGTCCGAAAAGGCCCAGTACACCTCGACCCCCGAGCGGACCGCAGGGCCCAGTCGGAAGCTGGGCGAGGGCTGGCAAATCCGCGGCTGCCAAAACTGTCTCCCCAAAAGAAAACAGCAAATTCACGGAGTCGAGCTCAGCGCACCAAGTAGTAAACAAACTGCTTCCCGGAAGAACAAAAACTTCCCGCATCTCCGTGTCATCAACCACGGGCTTGCAAACCTCCGCCCGGCTTCTGACAGCACCCCTCGACCCCCGAGCGGGCCGCAGAACCCAGGCATCCGAGAGCGAGGGGGGCGGGCACTGCGCTACTTCAACACTCCTGCGAGCGATCCGAACAGGCCACCTCTCAGGGTCTAATCCAGCCCCCCCCCCCAAAACTGTGGCCCCGGGGCCAAACATAACAGAAGACAAGGTCCGAGGATCGCGCCGCACCGCCGATGCATTGGCGGTGTCGGCGGGGAGAAAGTTTGGCCCCGCATTGGGCCGCATCGCCGATGCATCGGCGGCACGACCCACCGACCCCATCTACTGTGTCCAATAGAACACTGATCTTCCCCTATGCGCAAGACGAAACACGTAACGTATTGATACTGAGCTCAACACGTTGACTGAAAACGTAGGAATGATGCGATACCAATCGCCAAAACGCGCCGAGCCAACACGCAACGTATGGGCACGGACGGTTTACGCACGGGACGTGCTGCGTTTCAATACGGGCGTATCGAGGCCGCCAAGGTAGAGAGGCCGACGGAGCGAAGAGTGCCTGCACGACAAAAGGCGCACAGAGACGTCTTGTGCCGACCAACGCGCGGCCAGCCGCAGTGCGAGCCCAGGGGCAGCCACGAGTGCCGCGCTGGGCGCACGAGGTCCTCCGCGCAGGGCCTCGGCACACAACTGGCGCGAGTCATCTCTCGGTTGGAGCGAATGCTTCGACCGTCTTTGTCGAGACGCTCGAGGTGAGCGCGACAAAAAATGGGCACGATGCCCACCAGCAGGTCTATGACGCAGAACCGACAGCGGCAGCAGTTGGACAGGGGCCCGCTTGACTCGAGCGGACAACGTCCGCAGCGACACCGACAACGGCTCCTGCTCAAAACGAGCAGGAAATGCGGGCGATCGTCGTACCCATTGTTTCCGTACACACACACACACATTTCGATCCTGCCAAGATAGAGGTCTCGTGGATGGAGCCCGAGTAGATGGGATCGGAGGGTCGCGCTGCATCGCCAATGCGTCGCCAATGCAGCGGCGATGCATCGACGATGCATTGGCGCCATCGGCGTGGAGAAACTCTGGCAGAACATCGAACCGCATCGGCGATGCGGCGCGATCAGTCGACCCCATCTACTCGGATCCCTTCTGGGAGGCCTAGACAAGAGCAGGCCTGGGCACAGTGCCTTCTCTTGCCCCCCCCCCCCTGGC